TATTTTGGACCCATGTAAAATATCACACATTCATGCTTAGTGCAATAATTTATTCTGAAGGAAAGTGTTACATTTTTTTTTTTTTTTACATTGAACCCATGTGAAATTTCCAAATTTGTGCTTACTGCAATAAATGTTGCTAAAGGAAAGGACTTCTACTTATTCCTAAAAGTATGATAAAAACCCAACTACCCTCTCCCTTTACCCATTAATCACCCTATTCTTTCACCTGTATATCTAGCCATCTAGGGTTAATGCACATGTGTTTTGCTAAAGCAATTTCAACATCTTAGCATATGTTATTAAATTTTTTGTATAAAGAATACGTGTGATAACAATTTTCTGAGTCCTGCAATTCCTATTTGTGCTGTATTTCTTTAGTTCCATTAGAGTCAATCCAAGTAGTGACAGATTGATTTATCTGTTTTTTAACTTGTAAATCTAGTTTAAAACTACAGCAGTGGTTTGTTATAGCAATGAACTGTTTTTACAATCATGCATTTTACAGTCAAAGATTTTTTTTTTTTTAGTTTTCAAGTGACTATATGTTAAACTTGAGCTGAAAAAGTAATAAAAAGTTAAATTTGGTGTAAGTATAGAAATGCAATATATTTCACCCATTTGTCTCACAATTTAATATTTTTTTTGCTAAATGTAAAGAAAAGACTGAAGATAAGACATCTGATCGATTGATTAACAGTTTTAGTGATTCTAAAAATATGTTCATTGCAATTAAAACTTTTTGTCCAAGTAAGTTGAAATTTTAAGTTAATTGAGCAAAAACCAGGAAAAAAAAATCAGAAACTTTTACTTTAAAAATATAAATATATAATATATGAACTTTGAGAATAGTGGTGGTGGTCAGTTTTACTTTAAATGTATAATATATGAACTTTGGGAATAGTGGTGGTGGTCAGTTTCACTTTAAATATATGATGTATGAACTTTGGGAATAGTGGTGGTGGCCAGTTTCACTTTAAATGTATGATGTATGAACTTTGGGAATAGTGGTGGTGGTCAGTTTCACTTTAAATGTATGATATATGAACATTGGGAATAGTGGTGGTGGTCAGTTTCACTTTAAATGTATGATATATGAACATTGGGAATAGTGGTGGTGGTCAGTTTCACTTTAAATGTATGATATATGAACTTTAGGAGTAGAGGTGGTGGTCAGTTTCACTTTAAATGTATAATATATGATCTTTTGAAGTAGTTGTGGTGATAAGTTTTACATTAAATATATAATATATGAACTTTTGGAATAGTGGTGATGATAATCTTCATTTTCAGTGGGGATACACAAGTATTGGGGCCACCCGGTAATACTTGGCTGCAGTTGAGTGTCGAAGTTAGGCATCTAAGCCCTGATCTTTGTGGCAACTAACATGGTACTGAAAGTTAGTAAATACTTGGTTTAGTTAAAAACAAACAAAAAAAACATGTTCTGAGCAACAAAGATTAACTGCCTGCTGAATGTCAGGGATTCGGTGAACAGTAGGGGTTAATAATAAGTATGGCTTGAGAAGTGGATTTCTGGGGAAGGTGGGGGTTTTGAGAACAATAGGGGTTAAGGTTTTAGTAGGTGGGGCTTGGCATTGAAAGTTGAAAGTAAAACTTGAATGTTCCGTTGGTGATTATTTGGTTAAATGTAATAACCATCAATTTTGTTTTGTTTCTAATTTTTGTGCATGTTTTTATTGGGGGGGGGGTGAAGGGAGAACTCTGTCCCAGTTGACACCTGGCCAAAGCTTAGTGACCGTGTACCCGCACCCGATATTCGGTCAAATTTTTCTACCCGAGCATCCCTAGTTTTCAGTGTATGACATACGAACTTTGGGAATAATGGCGATGATAAGCTTTGTTTTCAGTGTATGATATATGAACTTTTGGAATGGTGGTGGTGATAAGCTTCGTTTTCAGTGTATGATATATGAAATTTTGAAATGGTGGGGGTGATAAGCTTCATTTTCAGTGTATGATACATGAACTTTTGAAATGGTGGGGGTGATAAGTTTCGTTTTCAGTGTATGATGTACGAACTTTTGAAATGGTGGGGGTGATAAGTTTTATTTTCAGTGTATGGTATATGAACGTTTAGAGTAATGTGGTGATAAACTTCACTGTCAGTGTATGATATACGAACTTTTGAAATGGTGGGGGGGTGATAAGTTTCGTTTTCAGTGTATGATATACGAACTTTTGAAATGGTGGGGGTGATAAGTTTCGTTTTCAGTGGATGGTATATGAACTTTTAGAGTAGTGTGGTGATAAGCTTCACTGTCAGTGTGGTTTCTTGAGGTAAAATCCATAATTATATGTACACTAATTTTTATACGTTTATTAAATTTTGTAAAATAGTTTGATTGTGTACTTAATTCATAATGATACTGTTCAGGAAAATAAACCATTTTAGCATAATATATTGAATAACAGAATACACATTAATGATAATGTTTTTTCATTTATTGGCTTATTAGTTTTGTACCTAACTTGTTTTATTACCAGATATTAATTTTCTGTGATATAAAAGTTTTGTGCATAATATTAAACTTCTGAAAACTGTTCTCAGTCAGTATCTGGTCAGATACTGTAAACTGTAAATTGATTGTAAATTGAAAACTAAAAGGGGAAACAAATTTGTACCACAAAAAATGGTAAATGATAAATAGATTTTTTTGAGACTGGGATGACTATTCTTTGGTGATTTTAAACTTTGATGGAAGTGAAGGTTTGATATAACAGAGTTATCAAATATGGAACATTTGAAATGGGCATCATAAAATCATCTGCTTATCATTTACCATTTTTTTTGTGGTACAAGTCTTTTTCCACTTTTTGTTTTTGATTTCATTGTACCATAACTTCCTTTGTTTGACTTTTGAGTGTCTGTAAATTGTTTAATAATCCCTGCTTTTAATGCTTATTATGAATCTGAACTATTAATTTTGTGTTTATTTATTAATATTTATAATCTGTAGAAGGAGCTTTTCCTAAGATAATCTGATTACATCTTGTACATACTTTAAATGTTGATTCATTATAAAATCTTTAGTGAAGAACTTCTAATGATAATTAGATTAAAACAAAACTAAACTCAGTAAAATGCTGAAAAATATAGAAATAATTTGTTAAATGTAGTTTTTGTGTGTTTTTTCTGTAATAAGAACCATATATACAATGTGTTTTTTATAGTATAAAACTATGGCTCACACTGATTTTATAGTAGAAGTAATGTTATGAATAAACAGTTTACAAAAATAAGGTGATAAGAATGAAAAATAGGCCTTTGTAAACGAGTCATTGAAAATATATCGTGTCTCTTAGGTGAAAACGTATGTTCAAGGCAAGAAAGTGGAGTGTGTGAACAACTGTGTTTTGCAATGCCAGAAGGAACTAAAGCAACAAAGAGGAAATGTGCTTGTGCTTCGGGAGTACTGGCTGCTGATGGTCGCTCGTGTGAAGGTACTTTTCTTCTCAAGTTGTACTTTGATTGTCTCTTGTTTTCCTTTGTGGTTCTAAATCGGTTCTTATTTTCATGTATGTTTTGTACAGTACATTAAGTTGTGTTCAGAAATGTACAGTTTTATATGGCATTAAGAATTAATCAAAAAGTTGCCACTTGTAAATTGTTTGACTAATGCTAAATAAAAATATGTGGAAAGAGCCTCATTGATACTCCCTAATGAAGTATGTGCAAGTCTAGAAAGACTGTTACATTTTTATACTTTCTTGCTTTCATTGCATATAAAAAAGCACTCATTATTAGGTATCATTGACATGTGTTGTTTTATGAAAGCAGTACCTGTAGTAAGGAATCATAAGTTTTATTTATTTATCTACTTGCTTCCAGACATGAAAGAGTACTTGATGTTCACCACTAGGCAAGAAGTCCGAAGTTTACATTTGGACCCTAAAATAACAAGTGTCCCTTTTCCTCCCATAACAAACCTCACTAATGTTGTGGGTTTAGACTTTGATTATCAGGACAAAAGGCTGTATTACACACGTAAGTACATTTATGTTTTTTGTATTTATCTGCTAATTTTGCAAATCTAGGTTAAAGCAAATAACATGATGCATAATTTAACAAACACTTATCTTAAAAAGCAAAATAAAGAGGGGGATTGGTATTGTAATGGGACAGTTTTTGTGTTGAACTTGTGTTTCCACAATAATGTAAGAAAAAAAAAATGATGAAGAAGTTAACACAAAGGATCACCAAAATAATTCAAGTATATTTCAAAAGACCTAGTGGGTCGAGCACTTTCAAAGAGTTCACTGTTCTTCTTGAAGAAGAATTGTCATCTGTTTCAAAGTGTTGAGCTTCTGGGTCTTTTGAAATCTATGTTTTAAAAATTACAGAATTGAAGACAAGCTTTGCCATAGCACAAAATCTGTATGCATGTATGTGTGTGTGTATATGTCAAATACCACTCTTTGGTTTTGTTTTCAGCTTGTCATCTATATTTCCATTTTTTTTTTTGCATTGTTTAAATTGCTCTGTGTTCTTTTTTCTGAATTAATGGATTTTATTTTCGTTCATAATGTGATGTTATTTATAGTGTTGTTCAAAACTTTTCTGTTGTGTAGAGATTCGTCCCGATGGCAGGATCTCCTGGGTTACCATGGATGACTTCAACACCGTCCACACACTGTTAGAAGAGGGCATTAATCCTGAAGGTGTGGCTTTTGATTGGACAAGCAAGAAGATCTACTGGACTGACTCTGGCAATCACAGTATTTATGCTATGAATTTGGATGGCTCAAAACTTGTAATGATAATTCGTGTCGAACGACCCAGAGCTATTGTTTTGGACCCATGTCAAGGGTACGGACAACTAATAGTAGCATGTGTTTGTTATACATTTAGCATTACTACAAAGGTAATATTGAGAAACGTTATTAGTCTACAACTTAAAGCTAGTAATTACAGCAAAAATGAGTGATTGATAATAAGGTTACTTACTTTGGTTATGAGGTTCAATACAACTAGCACATAATTTTTATATGTTGCAGAATGAAAATCTTGGCTATTGCATAAATAATCCAATGTAATTGAGTACTACTTCTAATTGAGTTCTATTTGAACTTGCATTAAATTGTTTCATGTTTAAGATGTTAATTGTTTAGCAGTAAGTACTGACATGTGGTGGAAAGTCTAAAATAAATCCCTGACATTCCAAATCTGTGTGTGCTCAAGTTTGCCGCATTCCTTAGTAAAGATGTGTTAACATGATTTAATATTGTTAATTTTTCTCTTGCTTTCTGAGAGTGACAATGATTCCAATATAAAAGTTCTGTGATTATAACAATTTTGTTTCTTTTTTTTGAATGAGAAATTAGAATGTTTGAATATAATATTTGATTGACTTAATGAATTGACTTAAGCTACAAGTGTTTTGCCATGTATTCAGTGGCATACTGTGATTAGGAATATTTTGCTGGTCTTATTATGTATGATGTATAGAATTTTTTTTTTCCAGTTGCTATTGTTAGGCTTGTGCATTAAGCCAATGATATGATTGTACTCAGTTGCTTCTGTTTAAATAATTATAATGGTTGTCTTGATTACCTCAAGTTCATATACTGTTGCTTTAAACCAGGTACATGTACTACACTGACTGGGGTCGTTTTGGAAACACTGGAAAAATCTATCGAGCCACAATGGCGGGAAACCAGAAAAAAGCCATTGTGGAAGACAGTCTTATTCAGCCAAGTGGTCTTACTATTGATTATGAAGATAAGAAACTTTACTGGACAGATGCACTAAGGTAATATGTCGCTATGCAACACTAAATCAGATACTCTGATAGTTTTAGCCTTAAGATATGTGGAAGGTGTTTCATCAAATTGTGAAATCATTTAGAATCTTGGAATCAAAACCTAATACACATTAATTTGTGAAAAGCTTGATCTGGACCCTCAAATTATATGCATTTACATTTTATGGCTTATTTCAGTTTTTCTAGTTCCTTTAAATATGGTTTTTGCCATGATTGAAACAAAAGCTAAAAGCTGGATAGAGAAGGATTATAATTTTAGTCCAAAATTGTAAGGTTTTTTTGATGTAGGTTAAAGGGGTAAATAATGCATTAATGAAATGCTTGTATAGAGAAATACCCCTATAAATGTGTTCAACATGAAATTATTGTTGCTTTTGTTGCCAATTACTGTTACAAGATCCAATCAGTTATCATCCCTATGTTGATAATTGTGAAGTAATAATAGAGTTGAATTTCAGGAAATCTTGTTTTTTAAGCAAATTACTTGATGTTTTCTACCTCTGTTTGGCTACAATTGATTGTAAATCTTGTTTTCCAAACAAGTTAGCTTGTTTTTAGTTTACTGTTTCTGTTTGGCTGTAGTTCATAATAGGGATCGCAAGAAATTGCACAAAACCCTAATAATGTTCATGCAAAAAGCACCTTAAACAGTAAAGATTCAGTTCAAACAACACTTTAAAACCTTTAATATTGATTACTAAGGCTGTACACATATAAAAGTGTTCCAAAAAACACACATTAGACTTACAAGGAAAAGGAAATCTGCTCAAAACAGTCCATTTGTAATTATTATTATTCTCATGCCAGTCTACAACAAAAACGGCTTGGCATATTCACCCGAAGCTTTTATACAATACTAAATAAGGTACTGCAAAGGTCATAAGGGTATCAAAAAGTCTATTTGTTTCTTCTATATTTAACTTGAACTAAAAAAACATCATAATTCTAGTGTAAATTATATTATCGTTACCCCTAAGCTTTCTTACAAATATCTGATGTTCCTTTAAAAAGCTTAAGAACAGGGTGAAACGGGAATTACCAGCCAATAATAAATGAACATTAGATGACCGTAACATGTAGATACTCAATGATTTGTACACTGTACAATCAGTGTCTTTAGGGAGCCATCCCCTATAGTATATATGAAGTGATGGAGTAGAAAAAATCAGTACACATAATATTAAATTTTATAACACACATTCATAGAATGATTACCTTCAAAGACATGAAGGCTTATTTAAAGTGATGTTTTATTTGAAAAGGCTGCTTTTCTACTGGTAAATTTTTATATGCATTTAGTGAGGGTTGTGTTGTAGGCTAGGCATATATTTGCCCATTTCTATGCATTATATACAGAGAATTTAGTTACACAAAATATAAATGCTCATTGTATTTTCAAACAAATCTCAATGACAATATCCAGCTGCAGCTTTACATTTTACATCTTGAACTATTGCGATCAAATAGTCAATAGCTACAGTATATCATGAACCATATCAGCTAGCTACTAGCTATGCTTAATATCATTACAATATATAAAGTTAGCTACCATATCAAGTAATCCTTTGCCCATAGTTGAGCATAAAAAAAAGCCAGCAAACAAGATAGATAATAATTTGTAATTTTAAAAACCTGCAAATAGGGATCTTAAAAAAAGCAAAGAAACAAGGCTGAAGATACTGTAGACATTATTTACTCAAATTACAAATCCCTATTTTCACTCCATCAAATGTAATTCTAGGCAACAGCATGTAGCCAAAATAGGGGTTTGTAGTTTGAGTAAATAATGTCTACAGTATCTCCAGCCTTGTTTCCTTACTATTTTTGATTCCTATTTGCAGCTTTTTAAATTCCCACTTTTTTATTTATTTTGTTTTTCAAGCAAGTGAGCTTGATGTTAAGTATACTATATCTGTTTGGCTGTAATTCATTGTAAAGTTTTTGTTTTCTGTAATTTTCTGTAACCTTTGCAGTCAGACTAGCCAATTTAAAGTCTTCATCCCTTAATGCTACATTTAGTTACATTTTGTTATTAATCCTTGTTGTATTGGGATACCTCAAGCACAAGAAAATGTCCACTCTATAATAAGTGGTTTTGAATATATTTAAAAATCTGTACATAATGTATGATTTATTTTATCAAATAATATTGTAAACTGATGTTAGATTTCATTTATGTTGTTTAATATTTTAATAACTAAAAGAAAATTAAGACCATACATGAATCTTTCTTAAAAATTGATCACTTTTAATCATTAGATTGTTTAAAGAAATGTTTAGTTCCTACTAAATTCCATACATATGGTTGGACTGTAAGCTGTACAGAGAAAAGTATTCAATGCTCGTACTATAATTTTGCTTGTCAGTATGCATTATAAGCATTTTAGACTTGATACAACCAACCAGCTTGCTTGTGGCAGGGAGCTTCAAAGCTCAGTGAACAAGTCACTAGAATTGCTCTATAGATGAAGGAATAACAACAAAAGGTGGATGCAGATATACTTTACCAACCATTTTTCACAACAACATTAAAGGCTTAAAGTTTTCAAAAAGGTCTGACGTTAGGTCGTAGAATAACATCATAAGTTTATTTATCAATAGTATTAAGTACAGTGAAGTTTAGTCCTAAGTAAAGTAAAAAACTTACACAGGTTACAAGGTTAATTTATATCTCTAGTGAATATAGGCTGTACTTTATAAAAACCTTAACTAATGTTAGGCGTAAGACGTAGATATTCAGATTTCAGTGTCAGTACTTACAATTCATTTGTATTATTCTAGATATCTTGTATTTAAAGGAGTACCGTTGCAATAAAGATACTAATTTGACTGCAGATGTTTTGCAGGTCTCTGCTAGTTATTAGTATTATAACAGTTATTTATTACATTATTCTTATTTTGACATTTCCAAGTAACATATTTTGTATTTAATTTCTTCCACACAAGAGAGAAAATAGAGAGATCTGATCTTAATGGGACCAACAGAGAAACACTGGTATTTGCAACTATCTATCCATTCGCAATAACTGTGTTTGGAAAGTACATTTATTGGACTGATCTTCAATTGAGTAAGTAGAACACGGAGTGTATGCCTTTGTATCCTTCTTCATTCTCTCTCTCTCTTTTTTATTTTATGTTAAATGTATTGCACAGATCACACAGTTGGCACTGATTTTAACATGCTTTCATTGCTTTGTAATTAGTTGCATGCTTGAAGTTTACATTTGCAGAATATATTTTCAGAAAATTTTTTGTTCAGTTTCAGGACTGAAAGAATATGGAATGTTATTGAAATATGGCAATTAAACTTTTTTTTTCTCAAATCTTATATTATAACTCTTAGAAATATTCAATTAATATTTGGAAAACTTCTAATTTTGCTCCACAGGAGGAGTTTATAGAGCTGACAAATATACAGGAGCTGGAATGATAGAGATGGTCAAACGCCTGGAAGAATCTCCACGAGATATTCACATTTTTGCACCAGATAGACAGAAGTGTAAGACCATTTTAGACAGGCAATTTGTACTTCCAAATTACAAAATAAAAATATCAAAATCAAATTATTTTATATAAACTATCGCAAGTGATGAAGGAAATGCTCAAAGGGAAATGTAATTTTAAATGATAATGTATATATTAATTAATGTGTCAATACAAATGGACTAGTATGTTTATCTATGCAATTGGGTTTTTGTGATGCCAGTTTTTCAATTGAGATCTTTAGTAAAAATATATAGGATTTATTTGACTTGTTTTTATACTAGGTAAAGAAAATCCTTGTAGTTTGAACAATGGAGGATGTGCACACTCTTGCCATCAGGCTCCTAATGGAACAGTAGAATGTTTGTGTAATGCCACCTACAGAGTTGCCAATGAAGGTCGGATGTGTGTTGGTAGGCATTCATCTTCATATTTTAGTAATTTTTTTTTTCCTGCTAAAAAAATGACAAATTGTTTTGTAGTTTTTTCCTTTCTGCCTTACAGTTTGATTTCGTTCTTTAATATCAACATGGTGAGATATGAGATTGGCTTATGTTTTATTGTAAACTATGATATTTTTTATAAGTTGTAGTCATTGCTTTTTTTACATCATAAATTTTGTTGTTTTTGTATATTTAGCAAAAAATATAAGCTGCGATGAAAATAAGTATGCCTGTGGCAATGGGAAATGTATTCCTCGCCTTTGGGCATGTGATGGAGATGATGACTGTGGTGATAACACTGATGAAGATGAAAAGTTCTGTTGTAAGCACAAATTAGTTTGGTTCTGTTAAATTCCAGATTCACTGCTCTTAAAAATGCTATGTTTTTCAAGTTAAAAGTTAAATGAAAAAATTTTGAAATTTTTAGAATAGTGGTGTGGAAGATTTTTTTTTTTCTGATGCGGATGTATATAAATATGACACAAAATTTCCATTATGTATTATGTAGCTACATTTTATGTTTTCTATAAAATGTACATGTGAGCATTACACTTGTATATATTGGTCTAATCTTTGAATATTTAGTCTCATCAGAGAAATGAAGCCTCATTCAAAACAATCCCCTTTTAAGTTTAAATCTCAAAGGAACCTCTCAAGAGTCATATAGTTTCTTAACTGAAATTGTAAGCGAGCAAGTTATTTGTGTGATGAAAAGGAAAGTTTTTGATCACACTTGCATACTAAATAATGAATTTGTTTTGTGGACTAGCTCTTCATACATGCAGTCCATCAGAATTTCGTTGTGGAAATGGCAGGTGCATATTCAAGACCTGGAAGTGTGATCATGAAAATGACTGTGGAGACAGTACAGATGAACAAGATTGTGGTATGTTGTTTCTCAAAATTGTAGACACTACTGTTAGAATGTTGAAAGATCAATGCATTTTACTCTTGCATAGTATTAGCTTTCAGTCAAATGATACAAAGATAAGTCATAATTTCCATCTCTTAATATTCAGAAAAGACATTCCTCCATGCATCATTATTACTTATACAGTAATTTCTAATAATAAAAAAAACTTTTAATTCCCAAGTTTGACGAACTATTGTCATTTTGTTTCTATATGCATTTTGTTTAGCAAATAATTCTGTTCTTGTTTAATTTTATTTCATGCAGTATGATGAGCATTGATGCTGTTTCGTGCTTGACACTTAATGTTTTTGGAGATAATTTTAACTTTGATCCTGGTTGTGATTATTTTGAAACTGCTTTAGTATTTGCTATTGAATTACACATGGGTTCCACTTATTTACTACTGATAGTAGCTTATGGAAATTTAGACTATGGAAGGACTAAATTGTTGACAACTTCTTTATTTTATTTCAATCTTATTATTATTGTAGGGGTTTCTGATTAACATATGTTTTGTAAATGTGGGTGATTGGGCCTTTCTGGCTGTTGACCTTGTGGCGACAGGTTATGATGATTTTCCATTATCTTAGCCATATATATTTTTTTGTACAAAAATGAACAGACCCACATATTTTACCATAAAAACTATGTTGAACAGGGAAATGCATGGGACATACTGCAAATCTAGTGACAGGTCTAATACAAATGTTTAATGCACTCCAGTGTTTAAAAATTATATGCTTATATGTTTAAAAAATATTTTTATTGCATGAAATAATGTTAACGAGGAATTATTTTTATGAAGAGAACATCATTTATGGTGCTATTTTCTTCTAATTTTTCAGCATATATTAAAATCATGGAGTGGTGCTAAAAAATGTTTTGTAGGTTTGTTAGCACACTAATTTTTCTTTTTTACAACTATGTTTGCAGAGTATCCACCTTGTCCTGATGGTGAGTTCACTTGTGCCAACTTCCGTTGTATACCCCAGTCTCAAGTATGTAATGGTGTCAATGACTGTAAGGACAACAAGACATCGGATGAAAATCATATTAACTGTCCTAACAATAGGACATGTCCTGGAAACCACTTAAAGTGTGAGACAACCAACATCTGTGTTGAGCCCTACTGGTTGTGTGATGGAGACAATGACTGTGGTGACAATTCAGATGAGAACTCATTCCTCTGTTCCCAGAGATCTTGTCCTGCAAACAGTTTCAGGTGGGTTTGCAGAATAAAACAAATCTCCTACCGACAGTGTCAAATTTCCTGCCCTTTATAACAATTGTTAAAATGTTGATTGGATTAGTAGATTTATAAGTTAAAAGAAGAAAACAAACCCTCTTCTACAAGCACTGTCTAGTTTCATGTTCTGTATAATAATTGATAAGAAGCCCTGTAAAAAGACTTCAACTAAGGTACTGAAAACTCAGAAGTAAAGTATTTACGTTGAAAAAATTCTAAAGTTTTTTTTTTTCTGTAAAATTATTTCACCTTACCCTTTCCTCTGGCCTACCAAACAAAGTTACCCTTCGACATAATTTTAAAAAAAAGAATTATTTTCAGAAAGTTTAATCTAATGGAAGAAAACCCACGAGTAAAATCCTGGATCTGTTCTTGCAATCTCACTGTTTTTTGTAAAAATTGAGATAAAGGATGAGATTTAAAGGTTCATCAAATCCATGCTTACTTAGGTGTGCTGTTTATTTCTGAATTCTCTAACAGGTGCACCAACCATAGATGTGTCCCTGCTACATGGTACTGTGATGGTGATGATGACTGTGGAGATGGTGCAGATGAACCAAGCGACTATTGTGAGAGTGAAAAGAGAACATGCTTTGGTGATTTATTTACTTGTGATAATGGAAATTGCATCCCTCGCATCTACATCTGTGATGGTGATAACGACTGCTTAGATAATTCTGATGAAGATAAACGTCATCAGTGTGGTAAGATTTTGTATGTGTGTGTGTTTCCTAGTTGATGTTTATGTTTGTCTTGTGTATCAAACTATTTTTCTTTAGATTTATGGAGAAAATGACACATTGCACGTATTTGCGTTTTGGATAAGGCTACTCAAAAGTCCTACCCCACATGGAAGTGCACAAAAAGTAATGAATTGTATCTTCACAAGTGCCTTAGTTTTGTGCTTTGTAGTTGGTGGGTAACACACCCATAGTATTTGCAATGCTATATTTCACCATTATCTTTGCTCTCTCATTGGTGACGTGATTATTTATAACCTTCCATAACATATTTGATAACATTTGTAATTATCGGGCATAGAATTCATTGGTTTTAAAAAATTCTTATTGAAAATAGATATGTTTGTATTTCATATTTTTTATTTCTTAAAGATACTAGTATGTGGTGTCTGCACTTTGATATTTGATAAGGGTAAAGTTAAGAAATGGGTGTTCACACACAAAAAACCTTCTGAAATCAATACATTTACCCTTGTTTTTGTTACTGTATGTAGGCACTGCTTTTACAGTTATTAGCACTATTATAGTTGGTTGTCAGAATGTACTGACACAAGTTTTCTTATTTAAAAAAAAATTGTAGTTTAAGGGAATTCTTTTGGAAGATGCCCAAAACATTTTCTTCAAATAAAACTTACCTGTTCAGGTTCAACTAATAATTGCCATAAACATTCATTTCTTTCTACTCTCAGCTGTTACTGGTTTTCATACTTGCACATGTTTTAATGATAATTGGGAAAGATGAATAAAACTGGATATTCTTTCTCTGAACACACTTCTGGGCTTTGTTGATGATTTTTCCAAAATTATTACAAATAATACACAGCTTATTTCTTGTTAAAATAAATACTTGGAATATATTGTAACAAGAAATAAACTGTGAATTATTTGTAATATTATTAATTAATTGTGAACTAAACTTGTTTTGGCATTTTTTTTTAATGTGGATTTAGTGTTCTGATGTGATCAATGGATTGTTTGTTTATTTAAAAAAAAAATAAAAAGATAAGTTTTCAGAAAATACTGAAAGAAATGTCCAGTGTATAATTGCAAACACATACATTAGTTTTGTATATCGTGCTCAGAACTAAGAAAACATCTTAATGTTGCATGTTTGCAGTACATATTGAAGAATAACATAGAACCATATGGATAACCACATGAATACCTAGGTGCAAAAGTACACATTGATCATTGCATTATTTTATTTATTTATTTTGCTCTTCCAAATCTTTTTATTTTTTCCACACAACTCTTAACTCCCACTGTCATGAGCACCTGTATGAGACACACTATATAACCTTTGTTTTAACCTTCAAAAGTGTAATATTAACCACATGTATGTTTGGAATTTTGTACTGCTACAAGGATGTGGTTAATCCCCTTGAAAATTCCCAAAGTTTTATAAGTTTTGAATTCCAGATAAGTAATGAAATATTGGAACACGTGTCTTCCTGTTTTTTATTGCGCATCTAAAAATAATTGAATGGAAAAAAAAAGCATTAAAAACTAGATTTTTAGACTATACTCACAAATTCTTCTCTTTTTGTATGTTTTATTCATTAGTGTTCTTTTATGCATGTCATGTGGAGAGATGTAATAGATGTTAATTGTTTCAGACACTCGTGAATGTGACTCGGAGAGAGAATTCACGTGCAGCCAGAACAAACAATGGGGTCGTGCTGTTTGTATTCCAAAGAGGTGGGTCTGTGATGGAGATCCTGACTGTGTTGATGGGGCTGATGAGAATGTCACACTCAACAACTGCCCAACCCCTGAACCCTGTGAGGCTGACCAGTATCAGTGTAGTAACTACCGGTGTATCAGCAAAGACTGGGTTTGCGACCATGACAACGATTGTGGGGATGCATCTGATGAGCCTAAAAACTGCAGTATGTGTGCAATTGTGTTTAGTATTTTGTACTTTAGTTGCTTTTATCGCTGATATTAAGATGTTTGGTTTTGATAATTTATTTGTGTTGGTTTTGCTGTATAATCAGTTATTGTAAATTCTACAATGTCTAATGTTGCACAGTTCATTACTTTTGATATATTTCTTTAAAGAAGTATAACTTAATCAGGTGATGGAGTTTCGTTTTTATTAATTTTGCAGTAAAAGATATGTTGGTAAATGCCAATATTATTTTAATTCTAGCTATTTATTAAAAGCTTCTGATTCAAAAACAGCTAAAAAGTAAGTTAAAATTAAACCTATTCCATATATCAAATGAAGCAGAAATACTTAATATTTAAAATCAATGCACAAAAATTAAAACCTATAATGATTAGAATGTATTTACTCATCAGTTTGGTTCCTTCACTGTGAACAATATTTTGGGCCATAAATCCAATAATGCCTTGTGAGGTTTGGCCAATTTACAAGATTTAAACTAGTCCTAAATTCAAATACTAAGCTAACAATGCAAAATAATCTTTCTAATTATGAAATTGATAGGAAATGAATAATAATATTCAGAATTATGATTTACTAGTGCTTAAATAGTTCTGTGTGATGTATATTGTGTTCAAAAGTATGGAACTATATAAATGAACCACTTTATATGCAGCTTTTCCAACATGCTCTGCTGAGGAATTCTCCTGTCGTAATGCCAAATGTATCCGTAAGACCTACCAGTGTGATGGTGAAGATGATTGTGGGGATGGAAGTGATGAGTCAGCAGATGAGTGCACCACTGAAGAACCAACTTGTTCTGGAGCTCAGTTTCTTTGTAAGAGTGGAATGTGTATTGACTATGAACGAGTGTGCAACAAGCAGGAAGACTGTGATGATGGCTCTGATGAACCTCCTCACTGTAATGTTGATGAATGTGCTAAGGTTGAGTCAAATCAGTGTGAGCACAAGTGTGTAAATACTCTTACTGGATTCTACTGTGAGTGTAACGAAGGCTACCAGTTGATGAAAGATGGTAAAGCCTGTCAAGACATTAATGAGTGTACTGAGAAAGGGGGCATTTGTTCCCAGTATTGTTTTAATACACCAGGATCCTATTACTGCAAGTGCAATGATACGTATTATGAACGAGAATTAGATTCTCACAAATGCAAACGGAAAGATGGTAAGTTCTGCTATAAAACTTGCATTATTGTTTAAAAGTTTCTATAAATTCATGATTGATTAAAGTAAACTCAATGATATGATAGTTTAAAAAGTGGTGGTAAAATTAAATAATCGAAAGAGATTTTGAAGTTACAATAGCCTCTATTTTTTACAGAAACTTTTATTTATTAATTTTTTCATTCTCTGTGCATTCCTCAACACCAGATATCACTCCCTGGATTATCTTTGGTAATCGTTATTATCTCCGCAACATGAGTGTCGATGGTTCACAGTACAATCTTATCAAGATGGACCTACGTAATGTGGTGGCCCTTGACTTTGATTATCGGGAAGAAAGATTGTACTTTTGTGATGTGGGAAATAAAACAATTGGTAGGATGTTTATCAATGGAACAAATGTAGAGACAATTATCCATCACAATACCAATGGGTTAGAAGGTCTAGGAGTAGACTGGATTGGAAGGTGAGAAAACTAAGTTAAAATTAGATAGCTACAAGTGTGTAATACTGTATCTAGCAAAGAATGAATTTTTTAAATCTAAGAAGTTTCTTAAAAGAAAACAGAGTTAATAATTATATAATAAGAAAAATACATAGTAATTATTAAGCATTCTTACTGTGATTTTTTTTTTTATATATCATTCAAACTTTTGAGTTCATTTTTGAGTGTTCATAGCAGTAGATTGCAAAAATTTGTAAGAAAAAAGAGTAAAATAATTTTTAGTGTCATAACTGGATGTTACACTAGGCAAGTGAAAAATCAACATCACAAATTAAATAGGAAAAAATATATTTAAAAATACACAGTACAAAGCAAGAGGCATGTAAATGAGTCTAGAAGTTGATAACATTATATCGAATTATTGGATTATACTTAAATACCAATTGGAGAATTTAGAACATCAAAGTGCTTCATGTTTATTACTATATATGTATTTTTTTTATGTATGACGGTCCTTTTTTTTAAAATCATTATTTAATTTTTTATGTAGGACATTCCTTTTTCTAATTGTTACTGTATGTATATCTTGTACTTCAGTGAATTGAATTTTAATAGATGGTTTGATCCATTAAATTTAAACTTGACTTATTTAAGGACTGTATTTTTATTTGTTTTCTCATAATCATTATCATATTAAGATGAACTATTCAGTCATCATTTATCTTTGCTATTACATAAAGAGCCAAACATCAAGTCATCTTTCCTTTTTATCATAGATTTAACCACCTAGTCCGTCACTTCTGTTTCTTTGATTGTATGGATTAACTATCCAGTTTATCTTTAATGTTGTTTATATTTGTACAAGCATACAGTTCATCTTTCGTAATGGTTATTTTAAGTATAAGGTCCCCTGACTAACATAAATGTGAATGATACCAAGTTGTCTTTATTTTTGGGGGGGATTCAGAAAAATCTACTGGCTAGATAGGACCTCTAAGCAGTTGTATGTTGCTGAACTTGATGGAACCAATAGGAAAACCTTACTTGGAAGAGGTATCTCTGATCCTCGGGCCTTAACTGTACATCCAGGCATTGGGTAATGTGTACTACCTATAATATTTGTGATTTGTTTATATTTACTCTTCTAAGTTTGTTTTAAGTACTGTGGGTTTTTATACGATGTTTTAGTCTTTTTAATATCTGTTAGATTAAGTGAGGTTATGTCTGATTTGTTAGTAAATGAATGTTTTATGAATTTCCTAATCATTTCTTTATTGTTTGATTAATTATGAAGAGCATGTAATATGTTACAAAGGGGCCAAGATTTGGCAAGTGAATAAATTAAACAATGCCGAGGTTGATTTCTTCTTACACCATTTGATCACTATACATATCATAATACTGAGTCGTTGGCTGTAATATATGACCTCTTTTGCCATAGTTTGATTTTTATGAAAGAATTATTCAAATAAGCTTAGCCTTGATAAGTCATCATGAGTTTTTAGGTTTTATGAAGATGTACTGAGTTTCACGTTTTTAATATCTTTGTAATTTCCAGATACTAATTTGCTGAAAAATCTACTTTATTCATAAAAGTAATCATTTATTAAAGTTCTAAATTGTGGCTTACAAATTTCTTTTCTTGTTTATGATTAGTAGATATCAAACTTAGTATGAATGTAAGGTTCAGTGGTTGATGAAAATACAAGCTTTATATATATATATAAAGAATATATAATTTATTCTTAGTTTTGTGATTTACTATATACGTGTCTGTATAATGATGTTGGTGAGCAGTTTCATTTGTTCTGTGTGGAAACAAATGCTTGTAAATGTGAAGAAAAAATGTAAATTTTTTTTACTTTTTTCGTGTTTGATAATATCCTACTGAAATTTACATTTCTTGCCATGAGTTTTGTTCATATTTTTTGGAGATGGGTACAATCCTGAAAATAACTGATGCTTATGATCAGCAGTATAGGCTTACGTTTGGTTATCAATACAGTTAACTGAAAAATGAAAAGAAAAACCTACACAATAATATTAATACCTTAACCAAAAGCTGTT